GTCTTTTAAATATTTTTAATTGTTAATTGATTGCTTTCTCTTGTCCGTATAATCTTACAAATCACATAAGCTCTTAGAAGACATTTAATCGAGACTGGATAAACCCTTCCAAGATCTTCCTTCGGCCATAGACCAGTTTTTCAAGACCTCCAATTGGCCAAGAAAAGACTTGTATAAACAGTGCCTACCCTTAATTTTACAAACTCTTTGAAGTCTTTCTATTGGCCATATGACATCTATTAACCATAACAGGTCTATTAAAAATCCTTTATCTGTCTTTCCACACCTCACCTCACACTATGTATTCTCCCCCCATAATCGGAGTACACATTTTATGTATCTCTACTGTCTCCTCACTACGAATTTCTTTTATTCAGAAAAAACAACAACAATACATTATCCACTATTTAATATTAAAATGCAAATACCAGCTGATGAAACAGCTCAGACTGGTAGTGGCAGCAGTAAATCATCCGCAGATCTTGAACGTCGTAAAATGGCACGTAAGGCCAGAACAGGTCGGTTGCAGAAACGTGAAGTTCCACCAGAAACTACCTCAACCACGGAGACATTGTATGATGCCAATGTTGTGAAAACACCAACAACGCCAGAAGATGCTAAAGCAGGCTCCACCGAAAATGTTGCTCCCAAGGAAAAGGAGGCCGCTGAATCAACGACTACCACAACTGAAACTGAAGCTGAAACCCCCTCAGATCCATTGCCGGTCTTAATGGTTGAAGTTGTCAATGTTAAACATGATAATTTCAAACAAACCGAAGAGATTAAGGCCTTGACCCAGGAGGTCATAAAGACCATACGGGATATTGTTATTATGAACCCTTTGTATAGGTAAGCATGTTTTAAAAGGGATATATATATTTTGGAGTTAATATTTTTTCCTTCTCTTGCAGAGAGAGTTTACAACAAATGTTGCACCAGAATCAACGTGTGGTTGACAACCCCGTGTATCTTTGCGATTTGGGTGCCTCTTTGTCGGCTGCTGATCCCGAAGAGCTGCAAAAAGTTATGGAAGAAATGGATGTACGTATAAACAATCTACGTAGATTTTAAAATGCTTATCTTAAGAGAAACATTAAAATACTTGGTGTTTGTAGAAGACTCCGAAAGGTGTTATATCTGAAGAAAATTTATAAAGTCCTGATATTGTCCTTAGAAGCCAATAGGACTCACGGAGTCACCAACTAAAAATAAAAGGCATTTAAAGGTCTTCGATTGAAAACTGTATGACTCCTGTGGAATAGTAAATCTTGGAACATTACAGATAGGTCTTCTGTTGAACGTAGTAGCCTTTTAATGATTCCCATCCATGATAAAACTTTAAAGGTTTTCCTTTAAAGGTCTCCTTCAATGGTCTCTCAGTCCTTTAGTCCTTTAAAGGGGTCTCATTGAACAAAGAAATCCTTCGAATGTTTCCTATTGAACATACCACCCCCTTGATGGTCTCCCATTAAGCAGAACAGTCTCTCAAATATGTTTTCTGTTGAACATAACATCAATTTATAGATTTTTTGTGGAAAATTACATCCTCTTTAAGTTCTTTTATTAAACATTGCAGCATTTTGATGACCAGACCTCCTGTCCATGACAGATTTTTTAATTGCCCCTCTCTCTTACCCATATAACAACTTATAGGCCGTACATAGACCTCCTTTTAAATATTTCAGAACTAAATTTTTTGATTTTCCCATCTAATTCTCTTTCCTCCTTTTTACCCCTTCCCATAGATCACCAAACGTCTCCACCTGGCTTTGGCCATTTTGAAAAAGGAATTGGAACTCTCAAAACTGCAACAGAAAATTGGACGCGAAGTAGAAGAAAAAGTCAAGCAGCAACATCGTAAATATATTCTACACGAACAATTGCGAGCCATCAAAAAGGAATTGGGCATTGAAAAGGATGATAAAGATGCCATTGGTGAAAAATATCGTGAGAAACTCAAAGATAAAAATGTACCCGAAAATGTTATGGCCGTCATTGATGAGGAACTGAATAAGCTAAATTTCTTGGAATCACATAGTTCAGAATTTAATGTTACCCGTAACTATTTGGATTGGTTGACAACCCTGCCATGGGGTGTTTCAAGCGAAGAAAATCTTAGTCTAGAACAAGCCACAGAAATTCTGGATCATGACCACTACGGCATGGATGATATTAAGAAGAGAATTTTGGAGTTTATTGCCGTGTCACAACTGAAGGGCACGACACAGGGTAAAATTTTGTGCTTCCATGGACCACCGGGTGTGGGTAAAACCAGTATTGGTAAGCGGAAATACATTTGAACTCCTTTAGAAAAAGTATTCTGATGTTATGGGTTATTACAGCTCGTTCCATTGCCCGTGCCCTGAATCGAGAATATTTCCGTTTCAGTGTGGGCGGTATGACCGATGTGGCCGAAATCAAGGGTCATCGCCGTACTTATGTGGGTGCCATGCCAGGCAAGGTAATCCAATGCATGAAGAAGACCAAGACTGAAAATCCTTTGGTACTTATCGATGAGGTGGATAAGATTGGACGGTGAGCTCACCCACACTTTTTTACTAAATAATAATTTATAAATTATATTTCAATTTCATTTTCAGGGGCTACCAGGGAGATCCCAGTTCAGCCTTATTGGAACTTTTAGATCCTGAACAAAATGCCAATTTCTTAGATCATTACCTCGATGTTCCTGTGGATTTGTCTCGTGTTCTGTTCATTTGTACCGCCAATGTTATTCACACCATACCCGAGCCGTTGCGTGATCGTATGGAACTAATTGAAATGTCCGGTTATGTGGCTGAGGAAAAGGTTGCCATTGCCCGACAATATCTCATCCCACAAGCCATGCGTGATTGTGGTGTAGATGAAAAACAACTCACCATTACCGATGATGCTTTGAACACTCTGATTCGCAGTTATTGCCGTGAATCCGGTGTGCGTAATCTCCAGAAACAGGTGGAGAAGGTGGTGCGAAAAGTTGCCTTCAAATTGGTACAAAAAGAAGGTGAACATTTCGAAGTGAATGCCAGCAATTTGACCACATTCTTGGGTAAACATGTCTTCTCATCCGATCGTATGTATGAACAAACTCCACCCGGTGTAGTTATGGGTTTGGCATGGACTGCAATGGGTGGTTCAGCATTGTATATTGAAACGGCCCCTAGATCATTGGCCAAATCCTCGAAATCGGAAGGTGCAAGTGGTAGTGTGAATGTCACCGGCAATTTGGGTGATGTCATGAAGGAGTCAGCACAAATTGCTTTGACAGTGGCCAGAAATTATATGAGCACTGTGGATGCCAGCAATAATTTCCTAGATACCACGTAAGTATGGAGAAGTTAGCTGTGGCATATTTTCGAAAAGGACTTTAAGGGCTATAATCATGGATTATAATGACGACTTCTCATAGACTTCTTTTATGGAATAAGATCATTTTTAAACATTTTTTAAGAAGGTCCTTAAGCACTTCTCTAAAATATGCAGGTCCTTAAATGGGTATAGAAGCCCCTTTATGACGTTTTATTTGAAATATAAGACCTTTAATGGTATCTGTGAACGAAAAAGTCCCTTCATCGGCCCTATTTTAAAAAAAAGGGAGGCCTTTTAACGATCTTATATTAAAAGTAGAAGCCCTTTGATGGTCTTTCATAGAAAATAAACCCGTCTTTCGGTTTTCTATTTAAAGCAGAAGCCCTTCAAAGGTCTTCTATTAAAAATAGATGCATATTACCTGCGGTCTTCAGAAAATAGGAGCCATTTAATGGTATTTCTTTGAAAATAGCCCGTTTCTGTTAAAAATATGAGTCATTGAACAGCCTACTATGGAAAATAGAAGCTCTTGGACGGCTTCCTTTTGAAAATGTCTGCTATTGAAAATACAAACTCTGGAACGGCTTTTCGGGGGTGTTATTGGAAAAGTCCTTTACCGATCTTTTGTTGAAAATTTAAGGTCTTCCAGTAGCCTTTCATCTGTCTTCTCTTCCTTTAACTATCTTCAATCTGAAATAGAAGCCTTTTTAAAAATGTTTCGAAGCCCTCTGTTTTTATGCCTAAGAATAGAATGGTCCTTGATAGCCTAAAAAGGGCTTTAAACACCTCCTCTTTATTTAATTTTGAAATCAAAGCTATTATCCGCTGTGAATTTTATTAATTTTTTCAGCAATGTTCATTTACACGTTCCTGAAGGTGCCACACCCAAAGATGGACCCAGTGCAGGTGTGACCATAGTTACGGCCCTTATGTCCTTGGCTTTGAATAAACCTGTAAGACAAAATATTGCCATGACTGGTGAAGTTTCACTGAAAGGCAGAGTATTACCTGTGGGTGGCATTAAAGAGAAGACAATTGCAGTAAGTATCCCCAATACATCTTCTATTCCTTGCTTGTCACAACTAATTGTCCTTCTTTTCCTCTGTCTATCTCAGGCTAAGCGTAGTGGCGTGACATGCATTATTCTACCCGAAGAAAATCGCAAAGATTACGATGAACTACCCGCCTTTATAACAGATGGTCTTGAAGTTCATTTTGCCTCTGTCTATGATGATGTCTATCGAATTGCTTTTGGCCATGCAGAGGATCAGAAACAGCAACAATAATATTAGACTAAATACGAATACATTGCGTTATTAATGCTAAGCATTATACAAGTTTTTATTTTTAAATGAAAAAACATTAATTTGATTTTGTTTTGTTTTCTATTGACTTTGCTTTCTTTCTCAGACACGACCATTATTTAATTGTATTATATTGTAAGAAACTGTTATACTTTAACCGTTTTTATTACATTTATTTTTTTTTTTACAATTTTCTTGTAAAAAAATGAAATCCTAAAAAAACAAATCTTAACTATAGTGAGTTAATATATGTTGTTAATAATATAAAAATACAAAGGTAATAATAGTTATATACATAATAATAATAATAAAAAATATAGAACACATGTGGCCACAGTGGAAATTAATGTGAACATTTTTTTTTGTCTACCCTGGGGTCGGGTGATAACTGTAGAAGGCTTCAAGAAGTCATCTTTATAAATACGGAATATTCTAAAAATCTAATATTTCAAAAAAAAAAAATGATATTAGTATGTATTCCATTTATGAAAGATCTATTAAAAATCTAAGAACATTAGAGGACAATGTAGCCAAAAACGAATACTTTTTCTTTCCATAAATAAATGTTAGTTAATTTGTATGTTAGAGCTTACTTCATCTGCTACACAGGTTGTCTTCTTATTCTTCCTTTAGTATATGTTCTATGATGGGCTGGTGGCTATATCTGATGCGATTTACAGGTGAAATGTGGACACTATCGAGCTCTAGTTTGTCTCCTATATTCGTCATTTGGGAGTCGCATCGACGCAGATACTGGGACAATGAACTGTCAAACCAATTTTGAAAAAGAAAATTTTGAATGAAAAATTATTCAAATTCGTTCAAGTTGTTGAAAGATGCACATCATCATAACACCCTCCGATTGGTGTCTTATAAGGAAACTTAAAAATCTACTTATTTTTGAAAAATTATTTTTAAATTTTTGACTTGTCAACGCTTGGGAACATTGATATGTCAAAATTTTTTAAACTTTTAGTCAAAAATAAGTATACATATTTCCATTCTTCTACGAAGCATATCGAAAAAGCCAGCCGATGACTTGTACTCTCACCTTTAAGCCTTCAAAAAGCCTTCTATGGACTTGAACCTTATAAGTTCGTGTCAAACATTTTCTGCTTATAACCTTTACAAAAAATGAAAAACATAAAAATAGGGGAAAGAATTCGCACAAATTCCAAAAAGTCACAAAATCTTTTAAAAAGTTTTACATAAAAACACAGGGTGTCAAAAAGGTGACAAATTGCAATTTTAGTCGCACAACGGTAACCCTGAAGGTCGGCAAGTAAGTCCATCTCATGGAAGAAGAATACAAGTAGTCGCATCAACACAGCTGCTTGGACAATGAACTGTCAAACTGGAATTTTGGAATTGAATATATTGAATGATAATTTATTGTAATTTGGAAAAATTTTAAAATTTTTGACATTTCAATGTTCCCAAGCGTTGATGCATCTACCTGTATTTTTTTACCATGCTTGGTACATACCATGGTAGAAGAATATAGGTAGACGCATCGACACAGCTGCTGAGACAATGAACTGTCAAATCAATTTTTTAATTGAAAATGTTGAATGAAAAATTATTTAAATTTCTAAAAATTGTTGAAAAACGCGAATTATAATAACATCCGAATGACATCTTATAAGAAAACATTTAAAAATCTACTTATATTTGAAAAAACATTTAAATTATTTTGACATATCAATGCTCCCAAGCGTTGATGCATCTACCTGTATTTTTCTGCCATGGTACATACACAAATCATAGATGCCAAACGGTTTTCTAGGCATTGAAATCTGGCAAGGTAAATTATAGTAAAATGCAGAGATGGATATGCTTATCAGAAATAACTTTACCTTCTTAATTTTATCATCCCTGTTCTATTGTTCGTGGCTCCAAAAAAGTTTAGCATTTGATAGTATCGAAAATAACCAAACCTGTGCCTGTGATAGTTAAATGCCACACTCATTGAAGATAATTTGTCTTGTGTAAACGTTATGTTAGAACCGCAATAAAAGATATTTGTCATAACAGTTTTGTTATTTATTCAAAATCGTACTTATTCTAAATCAAATTATGCAACTTAATCTAATTTCTTTAATGTATATATATGACAATAATAAAATACGGCATATCACTTTACTGTTACACAACTTATACATCAGAATTTTCAATAATCCAATGTAAATATTTATCGACTCGGGTATACATGCCCGGACGATTGGGTTCACCACAACGAATACCCCAGGAAACTACACCAACGGTTACCCAACGTCTATTGGGTAATTGAACCAGCAGCGGACCGCCACTGTCACCTTGGCACGAATCTTGACCACCTTCAGGGTAACCAGCACAGAGCATAGTATCGGGTACACGTTCCACAATGGCATCACGGCAATCTTGTATTTTCCAAATGGGTAAGGAAGCCTAAATGTAATAAAGAAAAGTGATCAGATTAAATCCGAGGATATGCAATCATTAGTGGGATTCTCTAACAGTTTTTTTGAGTTAAGGTGAGAGTACATAAAACGCTTTTTGTCTGGCTTAAGTCATCGGCTGGCTTTTTCGGAAAAGAACAAAGGAGCCTATGACGGAAATCGAACTAAGTCAACCTAAAACTCCCTTGTTCCTTTACGAAAAAGCCAGCCGATGATTTAAGTGAGTCAAAAAGCCTTTTATGTACTCTCCCCCCTTACCGGCAAAAATCGGTAAAATTATATTAGTTTCAGCATTGCAAAATGAAAAAGGTAATCCTATTTGCCAAATTGGGTAATGGCAACCCTTTTTATGTTGGAACCATGGTAGAAGAATAAAGGTAGTCGCATCGACGCAGCTGCTGGGACAATAAACTGTCAAACCAACTTTGGAATTGAAAATTTTGAAGGAAAAATTATTAAAATTTGTAAAAATTGTTGAAGAAAACATATTATGAATACCTCCGATTGGCGTCGTATAAGAAAACATATAAACATCTACTTGTTTTTTGACAAAACATTGTAAAAATTTGGACATGCATATCAACGCATTTGAACATTGAGAATATGTGTATTCTTCTACCATGATTGGAACTCATTTATGGTTTATATTTTATTCCATAAATATTTACGTAAGACGAGTGGCATTTTATATTATTTTTTTTTTTTTTTCTAAAATTAGATAATAATGCCTTCTGATGTTTTGATTGAATCATGGCAGAAGAATACAGGTAGATGCATCAACTCTTGGGAGCATTGATATGTCAAAAAAAATTAAATATTTTTTCAAATATACGTAGATTTTTATACGTTTTCCTATACTACGTCATTCGGGGGCTATTATAATTCGCGTTTTTCAACAATTTTTACAAATTTAAATAATTTTTCATTAAACATTTTCAATTCCAAAATTGCTTTGACAGTTCATTGTCCCAGCAGCTGTGTCGACGCGTCTACCGATATTCTTCTACCATGGATTGAATGGAACAATTTTTGGATGTTTTAAATCTGATCGGATCACTTTATCGGTAAGAGCAATCTTTTAATTTTCTATAATCCATACTATTCTCGAAGGGAGAATTTTTCATTACTAATTTTGAAAGTTGGATGTCGTCTTTGAAATATTTTGAAAAAAAAAATTGTATATCATATGTTAACATGAGATTACCTTGCATAATTATACCATGTAATTTCAATAATTAAAGACATTTTGTGGCAAGTTAGCAACTACCGAAAGCAACAGTGCTGCCAACCTTAAGGTGAGGGTACATAAGCAGCTTGGCATCATGGCTAGGCATATTAATGCCAAATTATAAAGGTGTAAGGCTGGAAATATATAAAGAGCATATTTGGCTGGCTTAAGTCATCGGCTGGCTTCTTCGTAGAGGAACAAAGGAGTTTTAGGTTGACTTAGTTTGATTTTGGCCCTAGGCTCCTTTGTTCATTTCAGAAGAAGCCAGCCGATGACTTAAGCCAGCCAAATAAGCGCTTTATATATTCCCACTTTAAGGCTTATTTTGTGATATTTCATAAAGTGATCACAGAGCCGCACTAAAATCCTGCTGTCGTTTTCCATTATAATTTAACATTAATATACCTAGCCATGACTTCAAGCTTTGTATGTACTTGCACCTTAAGGGTGAAAATACATAAAGCGCATATTTGGTTGGCTTAAGTCATCGGCTGGCTTATTCGTAGATGAACAAAGGTGTTTTAGGTTGACTTAGTTCGATTTTGGCCCTAGGCTTTTTTGTTCATTTCCGAAGAAGCCAGCAGATGACTTAAGCCAGCCAGATAAGCGCTATATACCCACCTTAAGAATTCGAGTTCGGCTCTGGAATACCTTATAATAAGGCATAAAATATGCCATACGAGGACTTCATGCTGCTTATATACGTACACCTTTGATTCAGAATTTTGTATTTTAACTTATATTGCCCTTCTTAAAACAATGAATGAATATCCTTCACCTACCTCCATTAAAATATCCGAATGTGGTCCACCAAATGTCTGTGTACCCCAGCCGGTAACAATACCCATATTACCGCTCCAATCCTCGCCAATCGGTGGCATACACACCGGCCAAATGTAGGTATTAAATATCGTTGGCCTATCGATACGTATCAAAGCTATATCATTCTCATAGGTCAGCGGATCATAATCGATATGGATGACCATATTGGCGATGCGGAAATCACGTGCCCGTGTTTCATTCATCAACAGGGTATTATATTCACCGAGCCGTACAAATATTTCTTCCTTTCGAATTTTATGTACACAATGAGCGGCGGTAAGGACATGACGATCTGTTACCAAAACACCACCGCACCAAACATGCGGCAGACCAGGTCTTAGCAAAGCCGCCATCCATGGCCATTCGTCGGGTTCGGCTGGGCGACCACGAGAGACACGAGGGAATTGTTTCGTTGTTACACCACAACCCCTCTGCTCGGGATGGTTGTCAACAACACGTGGTTCGGTCACATCCTCATCCGTTAGTATTTGAGGTCCCAAGCGATTAATGATGCGCATAGGACAACACATGCCAATGGTGCTGGAGGGAGAAGAGAAACATTAAAACAGAAATTAAATTCGATAAACTCAAGCATAAACGTGAGAATACAAAAAAAAAAACTCCTTTTACTGGGTTCAGTCATCGGCTGGATTTTTCGGAGTTTAGGTCCAAAATCGATCTAAAACAACCTAAAACTCCTTTGTTTGTAGACGAAGAAGGCAGCCAAAGACTTAAGCCAGTACAAAAAGCCTTTTCGCCTTAATTTTCAATTTATGGAAGGCCAATAGAAAATCAAGGGCATCCCCTTTTAGTGGTAGTATTGAAAGGAGCTCCACAAGTCTGCTTGAAATTCAAAAATAATTTCTTTATAGAATTTTGCATTGGACATGTTCCATTTGAAATTAACATTTTTATAGAACAAGGATTGATCTCCTGTAGAATCTTTTTATAAATCTTACATTTTTATGGTAACTTTTTTAAGGTATTCTGTCTTACATACATCTCTTAAGGCCCTACCCTTGGTAAAATTAGGAAGGTAAAATCAATTCAAATAAACATGCCCGTCTCTTTTTTTCTGTAATTTTTCTTGCCAAATTTCACTGCTTAAAAACAGGTTCCCATCTCTGATTTGTGTAATGAAGGTGAGAATGCATAAAACGCTTCGGCTGGCTTCTTCCTAGTGGAAAAAAGGAGTTTTAGGTTGACTTAGTTCGATTTTGGGCCCACGTTCCAAAGAAGCCAGCCAATGACTTAAGTCAGTCAAAAGGCGTTTTATGTATTCTCACCTTAATGTATTTTCAAAAATTAATTTTGACAAAAAAAAAATGAAAAAATTGTGAACATATGATTGCATGACATTACCTTCTTCATTCTGCCATGGGCCTACCCTTTTTATTCTTACCTTCCCTGAATGACACATAAATGTGATACCAAACGCCAAACATCATCTTTCAATTCTGGCATGCGACAGTAGATAATATGGCGGCAGGTGCCTTCTTCTCCCGACGGAGTACGACAAGATCCAAAGGAACGATTTTCCTAAAAACCAACAAAAACATTTAATTCATAATGGCAAACGAATGCTTAAGAGTAAAGGTGAGAATAGTATGGGAATACATAAAAGCATAGGTCATTGGCTGGCTTCATCGAGAAAAAAAAACAAAGTAGCTTTGGTCAAAAATCAAACTAAGTCAACCTAAATCTCCTTTGTTCCTCTACGAAGCAGCCAGCCGATGACTTAAGTCAGTCAAAACAACGTTTTATATATTCTCACCTTAATACATGGTAGACGAATTCAGTTAGTCGCATCGACACAGATGCTGGGACAATGAACTGTCAAACCAATTTTGAAATTGAAGATTTT